TGTTTTGGACCCAATAGGGGTGTGAAAATAAGGTTTAAAAATGTTGGATTATCGTCGCGTAGAGCCTGAATGGTCGTTGGGCTATCTGAAAATATAACTAAAAATTCCTCCTCTAATCCCTTTTCCAGGATCAATTTGGCCAAGATGAAAATTACCAATACTTCAAGCGTTGTTGCCCTAATACAATATGATTTAACACTCTCGAAGTACAGCGTCGATTCAACCAATAGTATAAGGGTATATGTATGCCTCTTTGGCACAATTCTCTGTAGATTAGCGCTGCAATAAATAAGCCGCTGGGTAAGTTATCCACCTAAGACTTGAACCTTAAATAAATTCCTTAAAGGAGTATAATTTCTATGAATTTAAAGAACACCTTTAAAAGGCCTTGTGCACCTCCACACAAAAAAAAAAGAAGGGATAAATGAATGACTTTCAGAAAACTCCTGAAATTATCTACTGGGTAGTATGTATGACCCCTGAGCCCTGTAACTGTTCAGGAAATTGCACTTTTAGCAAATAAACTAAAATGAAAGAAGCTAATAATGTTTCGATTACTAATAACTGAAAGCTTAAGCTCTACCCAGAATTACAGCGGACGACGGCAAAGAGGTCGGCGGTAAGTGAACAGCTGCATAGTTGCCGTAGTTAAATCCGTCAGTTGTCGTTTTGATTTAAAATTATTAATAAAACTAAATATTTTTAGCCGATGACCGTTTATACCGTCGTCCGCTGCAATTCTGGATACAGCTTTAACCTGTTTTCATAGCAAAAATTAACTGGGTGCCTGCACTGACCTTCATTAAAAAACCATGACAATTTGTCTATGGCCAAGACAAATCCTGGAAAATCAAGACGTCTGGCATCCCATAGATGATACTATCGAAATCCCCCTCGACAACAAAGAAGGCACAAAGGGCAATCTTCCGGATAATAAGGGCAGTATCCCTTGATTTTCTTTTAACATATACATATATATATATTTTTAATTATCATATTACATATATGTATTATATGTATCCATAAACTTAGTTTGTACCCAATGCATACATAAATACATATGTATGTATGTAGGTCGAAAAAAATGTCCAGACTTTTAGGAAGGAAGTTAGGCTTTTGGCCCGTACGATTCAGGTTGATCAAGGGGCTCGTAGCCGGTTTTAAGAATAAGGAAATGTGGTATTTTTGATGAGATTGATGATATATTCGTATTGTCATTAATATTGGTATTGCTATTGTGTTGATACTTATAGCGGTAATGGAAATGATAATATTATTAAAGAATAGTTTTTGTTTTAATTAGAAAAAAATCTATACGATTTCTGAAGCTTTCGCTTTTGCTTTCTCGCTTTACGATTATGGACTTCAGTCGAATTAACTCACTGTTGTTTGGCGATTGCGAAAATCCACACCCACAAATCAGAGCTCTTGGCTGATTTTCCCATCAAAATCTTAACCGTGAGAGCATTAAAATATTTGCGTTGTAATGACATTTCGGTTGCACGCTAATTAATTAACCCGAAACTAACTTTATCAGCACAAAACTATTTCATGGCTCATTTAACCTGTGAACTGGAACAGGGATACAATCGGAAAGTGGCAAGTTTCGAAACCACAGCAACATATTTTTGGGTAAATTTGTAAGCAGAACGGAAGTGAAGTGGTTTAAGTGAGCGGCAAACAGCGCGGCAAATTATTGGGCCATCGAAGAGGGTTGAAGAGGTGTGTCAGTATGTAAGTATGCATGCACCTACCTACATATATGTACATACATATGTACAAATGTACGCTATGTTTATGTGTCCTTCCAACAACAAACATGAAATGAAGTGGTGTGTGATTTGCTAAATTCACTTGCATACGTTCGCTGTCAGCGACAATTGCTGCAATTGAATTATTTGTATAAATTAAAAACAGAAATTAGCCATGTCAATGATTTGAATGAGATAAGCAGCGGCGATACACATGCCACATGCCACCAACAACCAGCAACCACCAACAACACAAAAACCAAAAAAAAGTGTAGGGTGCGAGTGGCGTAGCGGAAAGGGCGGCTTGAGGTAGGCTGGTGCGCTTTCGTTGTTGTTGTTGTTTTTTTTTTGGTTGCACGCTAATTTAAAGACGATCATTGCTGTCGAAGTTGCCACGCGCCGAACACACGTTCCCATGGTTAAATGCTGCAAACAATTGCCGCAGGCGAGAAAAACCGCCGACTTGGCCGGCCAACGCGTTGCAACGCTGAGATGCTGCAGCTCAATGAGATGAGCCCCATACATACATACATAGCTACATATGTATGTAGCACGCATGCGCGCATCGGTTAACACCAGCAAAACAATAGTTGCAACTTTCAAGGGAAGCGGAGAGGGGAAAGACAAAAAGTTTATAAAACTCCATCTGTTGGACAGGACCATCGGCTCTTCGGTGTGGCGGCGCGGCCGTCACTCAACGTATTGAGCACAATCTCCAGTATAATCTTGTTATAAATCACTGTAAATATGTTTGTTAACTTAATTTTATGTGCTAAAAGTCATTTCTTTTTCGCCGCACCCTTTCGATTTGCGAGGTCAAATAAGACCAAATTTATGACGCCAAATTTTCGCCTTTTTTTAAGTTGCTCCATTACCATGCCACTACTATCTATTGGCATTAACATTACCATTATAATTACAATTACCATTACTATTTAAATTACTATTACCAGTACTTTTGCAATATTTATCACCGTTGCCCTTGCCAATGCAATGACAAAAACCATTACCATTCTCATTACAATTACCATTACCATTACAATTACCATTACATTAGCATTATTATTTAAACTACTATTATGATTGCAATTGCCATTACAATTGACATTGCCAATACCATTACCATTACCTTTACCAGCTTTCTTGACAAAATCATTGAAATCAGATGCATACTTACCGCTATTGCATATTCTCCATATTTACAAATGTAGGCCTGTAATCAAATACATCAAACACCATTATAATGCCGTTACTATTGGAATTACCGTTTCAATAACCATTACCATTACCATTACCATTACCATTACCATTTCCATTGAAATTACTATTACCATTACCTTTACAATTACCATAAACTTCGCAATATTAATTAAGATTACAATTACAATTACCATTACCATTACAATCACATTTACATTACCTTTATTATTTAAACTACTATTACCATTGTAATTAAAATTACAATTGACATTACCAATACCATTACCATTACCTTTAGCAGCACTTTTAATTTACATCCAAACACTTGCCGCTGTTGCATATGTATATATTATCCACATTTACAGACAAAATTTACACAAATATACGACTGTAATCAAAAACGTATTTTTAAACAGGTGCAGTTATTCTCGATTTGCATCCGATTACCACCATGCTAATCTCATATTACTTCATATGCTTCATTGTCTTTTGCATTACCACATTTTTGTATTGTTGCCTACAAATATGAAATAATACTCTCTTCTTCTGTTTTCGCTCTCGTTATGCACTCACAAAGCTCCACCCATTTTAAAACACCCCACAGCTTGCAAAAATTGATGCTAAACTTTTTTCGCCCGAGCCATGTATCAGCAACAGACTTCAAAGTGAAATGGAGTACGTGGGTGGTAGGAGGGAAACAAATATGGCTGCCACATGCTGTGAATGAAGTTGAACTGTCACGAGCAGGTACATATTGAAGCAACAATGAACTCGCTGTTTATATGAGGTATGTACATATGTAGATGATGCGGAGGTTTGTGCCCAGTAGGAAAAGGGTGGAACATAAAAGGTCAAACTTCAAGCCATGCGCCACCCAGATACCAATAGCTTAAGATTGGCTGACTGGCGGTGAGAACTAATTCTCACTTGAGGTCATGCGTTAGCCAAAAATGGAACCCTCTCTGGCTAACGCATTAGCAGTCTCGCATAATGGTATCCCGACTCTCCGAGGAAACGATAAATCGTTACTACAACCTTCGTCGATAGCAAATACTTCTGCCTAGAAATACTAAAAAAGTAAAGCAGACGAACTGATCATATTACTCCGAGGAAGTCAGAAAAGTCTTCTTCTTCTTAGTTGGATCCACGACCGTTCGTCGGTTTGGGCCGAAACCACACAATTTCGCCAATTTCCTCTCTCCTTTGCGGTGTTGCGCTATTTTGTACATGCCGAGTGTCATTCATTAAATTCATGTCCTTTCGCACTTGTTCCTTACATTGTATTCCTTTCCTTTCCTTCGCTCGTACAGTTCTGCCACAGTGGAATGGGAAACGCCTCTGCCCAGCGTAAAGCGATCAGTAGTGGTAAACGACGTCCTATAGGAGGTTATTGGCCACGCGGACCACGTGGCACTCATCGTCAGAAGAAAGTTCTTGGACATTCTGTACGAACTTGGACATTCTGTACGAACTTGGACATTCTGCAGAACTGGGATCATAAATTTACCTACCATAGAGCCTAGACAGAGGGAACTTGTACTATTTTGCGCTCTGCGGACAGGGCAGGAAATTATCGCGGAAGCCAAATATTCCGGAGCGAGCAAAAAGATAATCAGTGGATCTCTTCTGCTGCAAAGACCCTGTGGAGAAGAGATGGAATCAACGGAGTGCTCCCAATACGCCAAGACCCTTTGTGTGTTGCCAGGAGATACTATTTACTGTCGCTGACGCCCCTTGGTCTCAAGCCTCAGATGTCAATATCATCCATGCTTTTTGCTGTTTAGAAACCCCAATTTATTTGCTCACTTGCTTTCAAATTGGAGCAACAGAAAACAAATCCACAAGTATTCATTCTAAGCTATTTCACACAATTTTCATTTGCCAACAAAGGCACCCAGTATTCACACGACCATAGCTCCGCCCATTTGTCCAACAACAATGTAATGAAAGTACATAGCAAAACTCCATGCATTCACGTTTATGTGTGTGTTTGTTGGAAGGATATGCACATTGAAATCTCTGCCATTATTTATTACAAAATATGTTTAAGGGTAGCTGCGCGTGTATCCTTTCTACCCAGCTCAGCTTATCAAATGCAGAGATTTGCTGAGATTCCTCTTACCGTTTAGTGTGTAGCATAAAATTCCATAGTAGTAAATGTACATACTCCAGTTGGACCAATTTGCTGTATAAAAGGATATGCACTCGCAGGAAGTAAATTAATTGTGAAAAATCTTATTAGCGTACGGTTGTGCGGTGTAGTGGATTAAAAAAGTTAATCTGAGAGTGATTTGTGGATTGATTAAAAGTGATTTGAGTACTGGGGACTCTATTAAAATTCAATAAGAACTGCAGATATAGACAACTCTAAAAACCAAAGCAATATCGGTTATCTAACAGAATATGTCCCGAAATCAATTGCCCGATTCATCGTCCTCGCCGCCAATAAGGTTAATATAAGCAAAAACATATACATAATTATTACAGAACCGATAAAAAGTATTCACTTACATATCGATGGCTGAGTGGAAGATCGACCTATCTCGGCAGCCAGTTCGAAAACACTCTATCTCAAAAAACTTTTCAAGAACGCCCTATTTCAGAATTCGTTTCAAAAACGCCCTATCTCAGCTGCCGATTCAAAAACGCCCTATATCAGCACATTTTCAATACATTTTGAAGTGAGATAGGGCATTTTTGAACTGAATTTTGAGATAGGGTGTTTTTCAATAAAATTCTGAAATATGGCGTTCTTCAAAAGTTTTTTGAGATAGAGCGTTTTCGAACTGGCAGCCGAGATAGGTCGATCTTCCACTCAGCCATCGATATGTACATAAATTGGAAAAAAACAGCGAAAATTCCAAAATGTTATTGAGCAGTACTTCAAAGTATCTAGTTTTTCATCGAATCACCGTATTAATTTTTTGAGTTCAAAATAAATTTTAATTCTTATGCCGAATTTCCACTAGGCATTAAAATGACAAACAATCTATGCCATTTAAAAAAGTGCGATGTGAAAATGAACTTAATGATTTTTTTTTTTAATGTAATGACACGATAATTTTTTAATGCCCGACTTTTTCATTTGTCATTTTTGCCATTTAATACCTAGTGGAAATCCAGCATTAGGGATCTATGCTGAAAATTCATTACTTCAGCTAATTATATGAATATGTACAGTGGCGGTCAAAAATGGATGAATGGTGTTTTACAATATTTTTTCAAGCTACAATTTTTTAGATATTTTTTATAAAAATAACAAAAACCATATAAATCACACTTTCACACTTTATACGGAATTTAGAAAAACTGCATAAATTTTTATCTAAATTTCGAGCTTTTTATCCACAATTTTTTTAATTTTTTTGGGTATGCAGTTAACAGGACTGTAAAATTTTTGCAAGTTTTGAGCGGCTAAAAAATCGCATTCAATTTTAATATTTTTTTTTGCTGTTGGATTTTTAGCTTTTTTTTATATAAAAAGCGAAATTTAGGAAAACTGGCGTTGACTTTTTTTATTTTTTTCTCAAAAGGTCTTGCGCATATTCTTCCACAAAAAATTCATGTTTATATGGAGAAAAGTTCAAAACTCCTTCAACAAAAAAAGAAAAAATATTAAAAATCAATATATTTAATTTTTAGCTGCTCAAAACTTTCACTAATTTAACTAAAATTTTATAATCCTGTTAACTGCATACCCAAACAATTTTCAAAAATTCTGGTTAAAAAGCTCGAAATTTAGATAAAAATTTGTGGATTTTTTGTAAATTCTGTATAAAGTTTCAAAGTGTGATTTATATAATTTGTGGTAAAGCATCAACCATATTTTTATAAAAAAAAATATTAAAAATGTATAGCTTGAAAAACATTGTAAAGATTAAATACGAAACACCATTCATCCACTTGTGCCATATTTAAAGCTGAATATGAATACATATCGCCAGGGGCGCACCCAGGAATATATTTTAGGGGGGGTTTTATATTTCTGAAGATATATCACCGGAAAATACTGAAAATTTGCTTCAGATAATACCCTCTTTAAAATACATTTGTCAAGTTTTATGTACAGTATGTAATAAATAAATAAACGTTTTAAAATTCATAAACTGCACTTTATTTACGGATAAACAGAACTCAAACGCTTTTAACCGACTTCAAAAAAAGGGAGGTTATCATCTCGCCGGAATACATAACTTTGGACCACGTGAACCGTTTTCAATAATCCTTTTTTTATTAGAAAGATAGTACCTCAAGGTTCGTCCCGTAATTTGTTTTAGAGATCCGATGATTGGGTCATGAAGAAATTAATGGTACCCCTAAATTTGAATATGAGAATTGAAGTCGGTTGTGTTCTTTCCTTAAAAACTACTTGTTTAATAAGAAGTTCTATAAACTCAAGATTCGCTCAACTTTCAAAAGTACCTAATCAAAAATTAAAAAAAAGAGTCAGTAAAAATAAATTTATTGATTCCATGAATTTTTGCACTTCTATGTTAATTTTTTGATTTCTGGTTTTCGATAGAGTTGGTGATTTTTCACAATTGCTAAATTTTTTTAATATTTCAAATACTGAAAAAATTAACTGAACTCTCAAGAAAAACGAAAAATTCACATAGGGGGGGTTTGAACCCCGAAACCCACCCCTTGTGTGCGCTAATGCATATCGCACACGATCCCTTTTTAAAGAACTCAAAATTTGGGATTTTTCAAAATATGCACTAAAAATGTACACAGAGGTTTTATTTAGCTTTCAGAAAAAGCTGAAACAGCGGTGGTTTTAAATAAGAAGTGCAATTTATAAAAACTGGCATTGATTTTAATTTTTTTATTTTTTGGCAAACGGTCTTGCGCCTTTTCTTTAAATTCATGTTTTTATGGAAAAGGCCATCAGCAAAAAATTATCAAAAGTCTACGCGATTTTTAGCCTTGTAAATCTTGCACTTATTTCACTCAAATTTCTTGAGCCATGTAATTGCATATTCATGAATTCAGATTAAAAAGTCCAAAACTTGGATGGAAATTTGTTGCACTTTTCTAGAGTTGGTATTAAGTTTGAAAGTTTGAATTAATTTTATGGTTTCTGCTAAAGCAAGAAAAATCCCTATCGCCAATTCCATGCTAACAAATCGTTACCAAATTTAAAACGCAAAATAAAAACAAATTGGGAAAAATTGTATTTTTTTTTTGCTTTTAAATTTTTTGGAATATTTGTTCACATGAAATTCGCGATAGCGCCGAATATTATTTAAAAAAAAAAAAATAAAAAATAAAAATAACTTGAAAAAAATAGCAGATTAGGGTCATTTTTTTACTCGGCGTGTATAGAAGGATTCTACGTGTAAATTTGCTGAAGAAACCATTGGTTTAAACTCAATTTGGAGTCTGCGAAAACATATTTCGAAAGAAAATATGAAAATTTTCACTGTTGCGTCGTCTGATGGAGGTTTTAAGAAAAAGAAAAGTGCAGAAATGGATTCCTCATACCAAAAAAATCGCCTAAAGCATGTTATCATACAAGATTTAAGCACTTCTTTACGGCACTACAGGAAAATCCTAAGAAACCTATTTTCGCAATTCGGCAAACTCCAAATTGATTTAAGACCCATGGTTTCTTCGATAAATTCGCGTAGAATCCTTCTGAGGTGTTGGCAACATAAGAATCATATGGAAAATTCGCATAGGCAACAACAAAGTGCAACCGGCCATTCTTGCCCCTGAAACTAAGGTTGCAGCAATCAAGTCCTGAGAATAGTTTGTTACTGCAAAGCAGGGGGAGCCTACATACATACATATATATAAGGCAATTTCTTGCCTATAGAATGGTTCTTCCACGTAAGACATCCAGTGTTCATACGATTTGCTGAAAAATCTCTGTTTACTCTATGACTGTTTTGTAGTCAGACGTTTACTTATACAAGCAGTATCCGCCAAGTAGGCTGCGATTGGATTTGGTTTGCCACGGCATGTTGTCAAAGGAAAATAGCACGAAAGGCACGCAAGAGTCTTTTGAAAACATTTCTTAACTTAACCCATCCTCAATCCGCCGGTTAGAACGAGGGCAGCCGTGCCACAAGAAACCAGGTTTGGCGTGACCACCTTATCGGCAGCTGCTTTATTTCATCGACGCAAAAGTGGAATCACCCTCCTCCACACAAAAACTCACGCTATGACCGAATTCCCGGCAGTAGCGATATCAGTCCTTTGAGTGTAATTGTCACTTTTCATTAGAATATTGGAGCAAGCATTCAGCGACAAAACAGCATTCCACAAGGCGCTACTAGTTTCCGTGGATGTAACCTCCACAGGCCATATTCTCCTGGGAGACACGGAGCGCGCGGTCAATCGCACAGAAGGATCTCTTTTACCTGCACTTCACTGCCTGCTTCCGCGTCTCTTCACTCTGGTAAATGGAAACCAACACCATGCCATCACTAGTAGATCGTTGAATGAAGAGGTACAACCACTCCCACTTCCTCCAGAATGCGCTTAGCCTCATCAATGCGCGTAGATTTTCACACGCCTGGTGACCACCTAAAGTCTAATTTCTAGGTTCATCTTTCCCATAGTTTCTTAATTTCACGCAGCTTCCAGTGTGCAATTTAGCCCTGCTGCTAAGTTAGTCCGTATTTGTAACCTGTCTGAGACGCACCACAGCCATTCAGATCATTCACAGCGTTTTGCATTTTAGTCGTCTTTTACAACTCATACAGCATATCCGGTGCGGGTATATTCTTAGCTCCCTATCCTAGAGGGCTAACCAAATGTACAAATTTCTTTCCAATCAGCCCTTTCAAAGATAGCATTTTATGTAATAATGTCGCGTCCCCATTTATTTTGCCACCACTGTAGTTGCCTTTACAAAATATTTTACAAATTTGCCTACTGTTTTTACTTCGCCCTTACACTAAGTAGGTAATTCAAACGCCATTCCCTCTCTTCTACTTGCAGCCACCTCTCATTTCATAACTTTGACGATGACATGATCAACGATTTGCCGTCGTGCGTTTATGCTGGTGCAGCACATCACGTGAGCGCCGCAGCGGGTGGCCTTGTTGGTGGCGGCGGTAATCTGCGGATGAGTACAAGCAATTTGCGTCAGATGCAACAACAATACTTACATCATGCGGGTAAAGCTAAATCGATTTTTCGAGAGTACTATTCACATTTACCCTCTAACCTTTAATTCGTTCATTTGCAGAAAATCTGCTAGATTCATCAACAGGCATGTCACTTGCCTCGGCCAGCTCTTCCACCGGCTGTGGCGGTGGCGGTGGCGGTGCCGGCGGTAATGCAGCCTTGCTCTGCAATAGTCCTAATGCGAGCAGCAGCAGCGTCGGTTATGGTAATCCCCCGGCAACAAATGCAACGACAGCGACAACACCGTACAAGCTGCAACGGCAACAGGCGAACGTGCGCGAGAGGAAACGCATCCAGAGGTCGGCACCAACTGGGTACACTAAATGGTCTATTTTTCTTTTTTTCCAGAATTTCACTTGCATACATGTAGTACACTCATAGATATAAACAAAAATAGATAGAGCCATACATACAAACTAGTTTTCAATTAATTTCTTACACCCCCAGTTATATAACTGTTAATTCATTTTACTAAATTTCAAACTTTTCTTTTATCTTGTCATTTTTCCGCGTCGCTGTGCCTAATGTTGGCTATTGTTCACCTTCTACAGTAGCATCAATTCGGCTTTCGATGAGCTGCGCGTTCACGTGCCCACCTTTCCGTACGAGAAACGATTAAGCAAAATCGACACTTTACGTTTGGCCATCGCTTATATTTCACTGCTGCGCGAAGTCCTACAGACCGACTACGATCCACTGACCTATGTGGAAAAATGCTTGCGTGGTGAGATTAAGGCCGATCGCGCCAATTGGAATACTAGTGGTGAGTGCACTTTTTACTTTTGCCAAAAAAAATAAATTTAGCTACAGGGCAATACTGGCTAAGTTAGTTGCAATTCTTTTGTAAGACAATGGAATAGTTTGAAAGATTCTGTTTATTCTGGCACGAAAAGTCTTACAATAAAAGCTCCCTTGCCAACTTTCATAGTGGAAAGCTTTTTTGACAGAGAGCACAGAAAGCAAAGAATCGCAATGGCCGAGTAAGCAAAGCACTGGCGCGATGTCCGAGGTTCGAGTTCTTAGGCAGTGGAATTATTTTTTTCTTTTTTTGGGTAATTTGTTCGTTCCTTTACTTTAATTTTAATTTTTATATTTTTTTATAAAATTTTTTTTTTATGTAATTTAATTTTTACAAACCTAAGTATATTTTCTTCTTCTTTTTTAATTAAATTGTTTTCATATTTTTTTAAAATAAATTTTCCTCAAATTTTGGGTTGCTTGAAAGAGAAACAAGTTTTATTTTATTTAATTATTAGGAACATATTTTATTAATTTTATTCTTTTAAAAATTAAATTTAGTTTTTTTAATTTCTTTAGATTGTATTTTAAACAGATTTCTTTAAATCGTATAATTTTCAGGAACTTATTTTCTTTAGCTATTATTTTTTCACTTTTAATTAAATTTTGTATTAATTAGTTTTTATTGTTTTATAGTGTCATTTAATTTTAAGAAACTTATTGTATTAACCGTTTTTTTTTAATTAATTTTTTTTTATTTACTTTTCTTTTTATTCATACTTTTTAGTGTTTTGAAAAGAAAACTGTATATAATTAATTTTTTTCCTTTCGTATTCCATTTTTCCTTTTTAATTTAATTTTTAGATAACGATATTTTAAAAAGGAAATTATTTTTTTTTAATTTTTAGTAACTTATTTTATTTATTTTTTCTTCGGCGGCAACCAGAGTGGTCCCTCTTAAGTATTTTGGGTCGCTGATCCCGTATCCGAAACCGGAATTTAAAAATGTATAATTTTTATTTTTTCCCACCATAAGAGTTTATAAGTACATATAGCCCTAGTATAAATGCCTACAGTACTATACGACATTGCACTTTACACTTCATAGAAACTTTACCTGGTACCATGGCCCGTGCAATTCACCCAGTGTGTTCTAGTAGGGTACTATGTACATTAGGATGCATCACTCTCCAAACCAAAAAAATCGTTGCTGGTTTTCCATCGGAATAATAAAATTTATTACATTCTAAGAATTCGGCCAAAATATTTTGCAAAAAAGTATTAAGCTTTACGTGAGCTGAACCCCTTTGAAAATACCTCCAAAAATTGAGTCTTTTACAAATAAAATTTGTTTATAAAATTTTTTTCCAAAAAAAATCAACTCAGATGATAGAAGAGCCACAGTTATGCAAAAAAGAATGCTCAAATATCTGAAAAAAATATTGTTTTTAAATTTATCGACGTAATCAAATCAATGAAATTTTTTGAGGCATTTGCAAATACGTACGCTCACGTAAATCATAATATTTTTCCTAATTATTTTGGCGAAAGTCATTAAATATAAATTTTATATTTCCGGTGGAAAACTGCAACTTTTTTTGGAGGGGCACTGTAGTGTACATATGTCTTTTTGTTTTTAAAATTTACAAATAATTATATTAACAGTATATTTTTTTAATACAATTTTTTTTTTTATAAAAATTAACTTCAATCTTTTTCTGCATACTCGTATTTACAGATCTCACAGCGCGCCTATCGTGGATCAACTGGGAAAATTTGGGCGTACATCCGGGACGTCGTACCCTACTCACCACACTAGCATTGTCTTCGGAGCCAATGTGCGGAGCGCACTGTGGGCCATAAATAAATATTCCAATGCCAAAAAATAATAATATTAATAATAATCGACTCCAAAAACTTTGAGGCATGCGTACATACATATCTTATTATATAATTTCGTTGTGATACTAACTTAGTCCCACTGTCTTCCGTTTACGTAAATATATTTGTGTACTTTAAGCCGTGTATAATACATATAAGCGCAAGTAAAAAATTGAAACATCATAAAATTCAACTTTTATTTTCAAATATTGATAACAAGCATTTATTTGTTCGACAAAAAGCGTTTTATTTTCTAATTTTTGTATTGCTACATACATTGTAACTTAGCTGCATACATTTTTATGATGAATATGTAAAAATAAAAATTAATTTAAAAATTATACAAATTAAGTATTTTAAATGCTTTGAGTGGTTTTCTGCTATGAAAAAGGATTATCTATGTGTACTTCGAAGTTAAAACTTCGTTTAAAAGAAGGGTGTCAAGGATATTGATTTTAAGAGAGAGAAAGAGAGAGAGAGTCTTAGCCTCCATCTTTCAACTTTCCAGCAAAGACGTTTGTGGAAGGTTGTATTCTTAGAATTATTGGGAAATTAAGGCTGGCATAGAAGCGAAGGTATCTGCTGAGAAGATTTAGGCTTCACTAGGTGTGAAGTAAGGAGGTAGGTTTTTTTTTCAATTTACAAGTAAATTTGTCAACTTTGATGGGTCTAAGCATTTTATTAAGCAAGATAATTGAAATAAATATTTTTCAATTTTTGATTTTCATGTCTACGCACACATACATACATACACATATGTAAATTTACAATAGTTTTTCTCTTTGATATGCAGTTCTTTAATTCGATAATTGAGTGTTTTTTTCTCTAAATAATTATTTACGTATTTCATATTTTTAATTACTTACTTAATTCTTATTTAATTACGTACATAATTACAGTAAGGTATGTGTATTTAGAAATATGTTTGGCATTGAGTTGTTCGTTCATTGAGTTTTTTCCTTAAGTAAGCGAAAGCATAGGACTGCGCGACACTTTAATCCGCTAAGCCTAAACTACGCCACCACAAATCATTCCTACGGAACCACCGCTTAGGTATTACTTCGTAGAAGTGATGGGCAATTACATCCTCTAAGTAAAACGGACGGGCATATGCCTAATGCTAGCTAAGTGTCGTACTTCGATCATAATTGTAGCTGACGCTTCGAAGTCAGACTTCCAAACTTCAGAGGAATTTTCTACCGTTAAACTACTCTTCTCTGGGGCAGTCTCAAGACGGTTTCCAGGCAGTAAAGATCTGGGGCTTTGTGGGCAAGTCGGACTATACGAACTATCTTCCTGTGCAAATCGAAGAAGCTAATAGCTTCTGCATTTGGTCTTTCCATTGCAGTGGGGCTAGCATTAGCAGGTTCCAAGTTGAATACTTTCAGTTGTTCCTTCGCCTGCGGTATTCGCCATCGCCAAATCTTTCTCTCGAATACTCCAAAAGCCGCCTCATCGAATATTGTCATTGTCCATGCTTCTGAGCAATGTGAAGAGTTGGTTGCTGGCATTTGACGAGTCTCCACATGTCGGACACTCATTGGCGATATTGAGGACGACTCTGGAGAGGTAGTAGTTGAGACAGCTACAATATCCAGGCCGTAACTGGGCCAAAGTAACGCGGGTGTCTCTTGGCAGTTCAAACTCCGTTGACGAGCAAGGGTCTGTTGGGGTGCTCCCTTCTGTGCCATCATACCAGAAACTGCTTGCTGAGCATTTTGTTATGCTCCCTTACGAGAAGAATTTTGGCCTCGCTGTGCAGGTAGGGCGCAGGCGACATCAGAAGGTATCCTGTCGCTGTTCGGAATGCGGGGTTCTAACAAGTCTGTAGCTTTGCCCACTACGTCCAAAGCTATATGTATATATGTATATCTTTCGAATGACTCTTCACAAGGCTTTCTCGACTATGTAGGCATAGCAAATGATCTTTAAAACTTAGCTTAGAGTGGAATATTACTTCCAGGTATTTTAGGCGTGGCTGTGACGTAATCTCATAATCTCCCCGGCGAGTTTTTAGCCCATCGTAGAGTACCAGTGCCGTTCAAAATGTTTGTGCGGATGTAGGTTGGCGTAGTTTTAGCACACCATCGTACATGAAGTTCCAGATGAGAGGGCCCGAATCAGAAAATTATGGTACTCCACTGAATATTGCATATTTCTTGATGAGCTCTTCTTTATCATACTTGAGGACTCTACAATGAAAATGCATAGCTCATTATAATATTTATCAGGTAACGAGGAGCTAGGTTTTGATTGTATTTTCCCCGTACAAGCGCGCAGTATTTTTTAGTTCCACCTTTCCATCTTTTGCCACTCCCGGCAGCTTTTGCGATGTCTAACACTCTTTAGGTGGCATCAATTGTTGATCTATACTTTTTAAACCCGTATTGTGTTTCCGATAAACGAAGTGCTTTTTCAATTGCCATCTCCAGGCGATTGCTTAGTAATTTTTCGTTTGGCTTAGCGATAGTGTTAAGCGTATGTGTATGCATGTATGTATGTATGTACGCATGTATGTGTGTGTGTGTGTTTGTATTATAGAACATTGCAAATAAAATTTGTGGTCTGCATTCAATTTTTTGTCCAGTATTTCGTCGGTTGGAGCCCGCTACTAAAACTATTATTGTTTAAACACACATTTATCCTCTACTTAGTTCATTTGTTTTCAATTCTTAAGCCATCTAATTTGTTCATAGCTATGAATGCCAATATTTTGTTTCGCTCCTTTTCAATTTGACTAAATAAATTTTTATTCTAATGTGCAACATGCATCAAGTTCCTAAATTTTTCTTTTCAGTTTCAACTTATTTATGTGCAAAATAATACCATTTTAATAGTTTAAGAAAGCTTTTTATGAACAATTGTTTATTCTTAAGTATTACAAGAGATAAACTATCCATACATCTATGAAAACAATAATATTATATAACTAAATTTGTCCGATGCTATCAACTATTAAAATTTAAAACAAAGAAATATATTAAACATTAACTCAGCGCCGCTTTGTAGATCGATTTCACAAGATTTCATGGCTGAAATCGTTTGGAACATTTTTTTCATTAAAAGGCTCTAAGAGTTGCTGTATAAACACAACTGACACAATGCCAAAATCTCTCAGAATTCAACATTCAAAGGGTATGTTTAACGAAGCCAACAACAACAAAACTTCCTGCGACTGCTACTGAAACGCAGTGTTTTCGAAACCAAGCAAATCGCTTTTGGAAACCTGATATCATAGCTGAATTGTTTCTACGATTCCAAGGATTTGTCCACTAATAAGTCGCGTCATTGGCTCGCTGTTGCACCCGGCAAGTCGCATCAAGCTGTGTATTGCAATTACGTAGTCCTTATACTTTTCGCATATGTGCTGCCTTCTCTGTAGAAATTCCTTCAGACATCATATCCAACCCATATACCAAGTCGAACCCAAATCTCTTTTAAATGCACAAAGTATATCAATAATTTCAGTTCCAAGCAATGCAATAAACTACATAAATAAATTTTGAGGCCATAAGGCAACACTTTGATTTGTTCATGCAAACTCGATCTACATAAGTTCTTTAAACATCCGTTAAACAATACTCAGGTATAAATATTTCAGCAATAATTGTAAAAAAAATTTAACTTTCGAGATACTGGAAGTGAAATGAATACTTAAAGTATTTATATTAATGTAAACTTCCGCCAAAAGGCAACTACATATTTGCTACCTCTTCCATTAACATGTTTTTTGCCAATTTAAGCTTCAATTCCGCTTCAAAATGCGAACAATTGTAATATCTATCTGCAGTTTAAAAACATGGCATTGATCATACTCCATCATTAAGCTACTTAAAACTAATTTCAGCACGCAAAATAATTTAATTTTTTGTACACAAAAGCATTGCTCAGCGTTTACTTCTTTTAGATTTTACTAAACAAATGACAACAGCAATCATAGCAACTATTTGTCTAACGTAGGCATACTCATGCCGTTAAATCTCACACTCCCATACATTTGCATACATTTAAACACATGCGTAAGTCCATACATACATATAGAATATATGTAATAAATACAAGTATGCGCACATTCTATAATTATGGTAAACTCTTATCTTTAATCTACAACTATTTATGTATATATTTGTAACTTAAATTACTTTCTATGTATTTTGGTAGTTCGGTTGCGTTTAATGCCTTAGTGTATTCTTGTGTATACATATCTAAATATGTTAAACATGTTGTATTATTATCATTGTTCTTCGATTCTAAACTTATGTTTTGTTGAAAGCAATTCGATACTTTTGTGGCTACTAAGCATTTCCTCTAACGTAATGAAAATTAGCCGGTTTCCTACATTTAATCATTGCTACTCATTTAAGTTAGTCACATACCAATTATCCTATGATTATTAGCTCGTGTTGTGTTATTGTGCATACATACGTATGGCAATTAGGTAGTTTGTGTGTTGCCTTTAGTTATTTAGTTAGTATGTACGTAGGTGTTTTAAGTAACTTAAGCCGCAAGTACTACATAGTTTATGAAGATTTTGCATTTGGTTGTAGTACTCCTTTAAATAGTTTCTTCTTAGGTATTATTGCGTCCTACGCACACTTTGCGTAACGCCTCCAGCTCACTACGTTTCAAACGTATTTTGAACATTGCTTCTATAAAACTATGGCAGTTGGTAACAATGTCACCTTGCATCATATTTTCACGAAATAAATTCGCTAATGCGGCGATATCATCGCAACCGAGTATTGCTGTTTTATGTGTTAGGAATAATGCTAGCGCAACGCGAAAGACAATCTGAACAGAGCAAAGGAAATGAAAAAAAGAGTGCTCGAATTTAATAGACAAGTGGCTCATATGTTTGTGTGGCCTACCTTATATCCCTCCGCAAAGACACAGTCCCAAATACGCAGCACGGTTTCAACAGGAAGCACCTCAGCGAATATGCAAATGAACCATTTGCTCGCTATCACAGCATATGGTAAGCCTGAAGTTAAAAAGGAAATTTGTTTAAACTGTAACATATCTTATTCCAAGCGTGTTGATATTTTCAATATGCAAATTATAAAACTACCCCTAGTAATCAAATAACCTTAAAATTAGTGATTTTATCCGAGCAAAAAAAGTATGATGATATTGATAACTACACAAATCAAAGGGCTATCGGAAAGTACTTTCGTATCGAATGTGTTTCTCTGCTCTTTTTGCTCCAATATAACTTGTATTGAGAAGGCAGGCTCGTCGAGGAATGCCGTAACCTAAAAATTCAATTTCGAATCGAGTTTCTATCGACGACGTTATTCGGACTCTGTTTTAACAATAATTCGATTCAAGAAGTATGCCATCATCCAATTATACCAATTATAAAAGGATGGACAAGGGATTGACTACAAGTTGCAAGGAAAAATATACTCCATCATTGCATAATTTCTTACTTGGCACTCGCTGGCTATACGGCATTAATTTACAGAACACTCAATATGGCTAAACTATTTTTTACGTTCCCACGACAGTCGGGTCTACGTAACCGGAACGACCCAGATTTATATCTGGCCAAGGACTGTCACTCCAGCAACACTTCCCAAAAAGTCTTTGGGGAATTTGTATGCTACAACAACAAACTATTTTTTAACACTGTAGAAATATTGAAAAACATTCCATTCTT